CATGGTAGGGCCAGAACCCTTCATAGCGGTAGGTCCCCACACCATAAAGGAACAGTTCCGCAAGGATGCASYAGTGGGTAGGGAGATACATTGGCAACAACTTTCAGGCTTGCGTCACGCAAAGCTGCTRATGAAGGGTTACAACCTCAAGAGGTTTAAACTCATAATCAATCTCCCAAGAGACAAAGTCAGGCTACTGGTCGCCTTTTACACCGGCCATTGCAAACTCAAGAAGCACTTATTTAACATGGGCCTAGCTTCTTACGCAAATTGCCGGTTCTGCGACTGGGAATCCCAAACTCCAGAACACCTGCTAATGGATTGCCCAGCAATTTGCAGACGCAGGATTAAGGCCCTTGGATCCATGTTTCTAAATCGCCTCATTAGCACCTAGCAGGATATTGGAATTCATCTATTTGCTGGGGCTAAGTGAGACGCTGTGAGTTAGTAGAGGGCACAATAGACGCGGTGCAATCCTCATTCTTTATCTTATCTAGGTGGTCCGATGCGATAGTTGGCATTTATCACACCACTGCTAGCAATGATAATATTGGCCGACCGTTCCCACGACAGTCGGGTCTACGTCAACCGGAACGGACCCGGATTTTTATCCGGCCAAGGACTGTCAACTCGGCAGAATTCTGCCGTTACAACAACAACATAATATTGGCCGAGCTATTACAGGTGCCCATAATTCTGGTGGGGACTTCGTCATTCATTGTGCAGAATGCCGAATCGTCAATCTGTTCCGCAGCTAATAAACCGGGATGTGTCAGGTTTTTTTTTTTTTTTTTGTGACTAAAACTCCTTTTTGCGTTGGTGGACAGCCCTTGGTCGGATGAAATACAAGTCAATTTCGGTGCGTAGAACCTGCTGCCGTGGGAATCGTTGCATACATAAAGAACAGGGATAGTAATTTATGGATTTTTGGGCACAATTTCGATTTCTTTGGCACCGCGATTTGAAGGTACATTTAGAAAGAGGAAGTCCTCCTGATTAAAAAACGCAAACGCTTAATTTACGAGATATTCGACCTTAAAGTTCAAAAATTCTCAAAATTCGAACATTTCAACATGCTATTTTAACACATTAAACACACTTTACTCACATTTTTCACTTCAAATTAATTAAATTAAACTGTAAACTTTTAAAATAAATCCACATTTTACACTTTTAGCAGTTTTTTTACCTAAGAAATCTTTACTTTAAAAAGTACATTTTACACTCCTAGTGAACATCATGTGTGCTAAAAATTACGACGAAATGGAGCGCTGCATGTGATAATTAGGAAATTCGCTGAAATTCCTTTTTCCCAAAAATTCCTCTATCCACGTAAATGGTTATGTTCTTTACTTAATTTAATAAACAAATAAGCAATATTATATAGTAATATTATATATAATATATTGTCACCTAATATACAAAACAACGTATTATCAAAAATAAATGGAAATCGCTGAAAGATATAATAACCAAAATTTAATATATATATATTTAATTAAGCAGTTCCTGCTGGGATGTTTTCGTAGAAATCATCCTTGCAGTCATCTGCTTGGAGCGGAACCGCCTCCTAGGAGCATCAAGAGGTCATTCCTTGACTACGTCGACGACATCGAACAATACGCCGACAGGACCTCGGACGCAACAGACTTCCGACAGGCACTGACCACCATTCACAGTGGAGCCATCAACACCTTCACCGACTCCCTCCCCGTGAATGGCGTACTTGGAGTCAAATCACCACCCATAGCAGACGAAGAGCTCGAGTTGCCGCGAGAAACGCGAGTGACCCTTGCGCAACTTCGTTCTGGATATTGTAGCAGGCTAAACTCCTACTTATCCAGAATAGACCCTGACATACCTAACGAATTTCCTGCATGCAATGAGTCTCCGCATGACACTGACCACCTCTTTGCATGCCCAACCAACCCCACCCATCTAACACCCCTTTCCCTTTGGTCCGACCCCGTCGAAACAGCACGTTTCCTGGGCCTCCCGTTAGATGACATCGACAACACTGATAACCCTCACCATCCCAACGGGGACTGATAATCGTTACAACAACAACAACAACAGTACGCAAATATGATAGATAATAAATTTGTAATAATTAATGTAACTTTTTAAGATAAGTAATAAACAGAAAATAAAACAATTCATAAAAAACATCGCATATTCAAGAGAAATGTTTTCAATAAATATTTAATTACTATAACTTAAAATATTACATATATATTGCATATATATTCTGACCACAAACACCTTTATTATTGAAATTTTCGCTAATTATACAAAACACTAAATTAAACACTTGTAAAATGGATAAATGTTAAAATGCAAAATCATTAACTAATTTACATAAAAATTTATATTCGCAGTTTAATAAAATTTCATTTTACACTGATTTTGTCAGTTAATTATAGCGGTTTATTTCTGGCATCCCGCCTTTTCTGATATCAGCTGTTCGAAATTCCCTGACCTCCATCGCTGTCAAATAATCAGTTAACGCGTTTGAGAATAAAATAGAGCCAAATCCAAAGGTTCGCATCAGCTTATCCATGCCATCGTGGGATGGTATACTAAAGCCGGCCCTAGAGTTTTATTTAATTTTAACATCAGTGTTGTTTTTGTTATTGTTGTTGTTTTAGCAGCAGAATTTATGTTCGCAAAATTCTAAAACTGGACGAGACTAGCTACAATTTGGAAAAATTTATATAAAATTAAGGACCGTGCGAAGAACTTTGGCTAACTTGATATTTACAAGTTCGAAGCCTTTTTCTTATGCGCATCATTTTCAAGTGTTGACATAATGTGATAATTATAAACATTTCTTTCATACTAATTTTTGCTAATTTTCCGTTTCATACTTTTTCGTTATTTCTCTTTATGTGATAGTTTCAGCTAGTAGCACTTTAAAAACATTTCTAAGTATATTATTTATGAACGTTGGCACAATCAACACTGATTAGTTGACAATACAAATGTAGACATACATGGTTTGTATGTATGTGTAACTACTTATTTGGAATAGCTTATTCATTTATATACATACATATACACCACATAATGGAGGAATAAGAAAACACCTTATTTTATATATTAACTATTTAAAATACAATTAAATTATTAAAATTAATGAAGATTTAATAATTGATAAGATTACTTCGAAACTACGGGTTAACTATTCAATTCTGTTCTCATTCTTCATACTTTTCACTGCACCACAATATGAGTTAAAAAGACAGTCTACTTACATATGTATTTACATTTATTTTACTACATCGTAAGAAACTAGCAGAGAATAATTTATATGCTAGTTGATTTTATGCAAATGAAATTTCATTCTTTCTTAACATACCGATCTCCATATTCTCTTAGAAGGTGGCGATTTTATCAACCAACCTTCGTAATGAACTTCTTTATTCATTGCAGATAGTTTTAACAAATATTTCACACCAGATATAAAAACCAACACAGAAAAATTCTTAAGTGCCTCTTGATTGTCTCATGCCTCACTTAGTGCCCGACGGTCCGCCATTCCGTAGTAATCGTAAATGTTATTGTTCTCTTTTAAGCAATGTAGCTGTTCTTCCGTCCGTAACGTTAATGTTGGCGCAAGTCTCGAAACTTTGTGGTAACTAAAACATATATTTGATCTTATTTTAAATATACCTAAACAGGCTCAAAATCACAGTCGAATACTATTATTTATAAATAGATACACTATTTTTAATAATTGGATTTCAATTTTGATACATCACATTTTGAAAAAATGCCGATATTTCTCAAATCTGTTCAAGAAACAACAAGCAACTATTTCGTCACTACGAAACTGCGGCACGTTGGGAACTAACTGAAACATTATACAGCTTATGCATTCAAATAAAATTTAACAATGGCACAATTATTCGTACATCTATTGTTATCGATTACTCGACAATGTGTCAGAAAATTCGACAACGGCAATCTGTTTCAACAGATCTGCCGTTTTAATATTAGGGGTATTCGCTTACTCTTGCAATATAGCAGATTGCAAAAATGCAATACCGAAATACACAAGGGCACGAGAGCACCCATTGCGGTGTCTCGTGATATATGAACGGATGATTCGTTCAATTTGTGGTGAATGACTATTATGCATGGCTATTGTGAATTGGCGCACCTTCTGCATACACTTTAAACAAAAAAAAAACTGTAACAAATCTTTATAATTTAAGTAGAAATTATAAAATCTACATAAAACTTACCTTCCTCAACAATTTAACGACGAAATATGTCTTTATGCGAAATGACAGCAAGAACAGGGTTGTAATTATATTTTTGCTTGATATTGCAAGCAAATATACATGGGTTTTGGTCTGACATATTTTACAGCCATTGCAAATAATTTTCTGCGTGTGTTTGTTGTTGTGCCGGTGCACCAAGAGGAAATATATGCAATTCTTGCACAGTTCAAGGGTTTTGCAATAGCAAGCGAATACCCCTATTGTGTTTCTGTATTCCAACTAATCAGAAATTCTACCTTGCGCTAAAGGTACCCGTTAAGTGATACATTTCTTACCAGGATTTTCTGTTAAGGATCCATTAGTTTTACAAAAATTATATTGGCTTTTGATAATCAATTATAAATTTATTTCACTTTACTTCAACTATTACAAACATATCCATATGTATTTGCATATCTAATAATGTTTATGTAAGTTTAACAGCATTAAGAACATTCTTAACCATAATTCAATTATATAAAGTTTGAGTTCATCCTCTTCTTCTCTACTGGCGTAGACAATAGTAGAGGTAGAGATACCAAATGCAGCCAGGTTCTTCCCCATCTGGTCCTTCCAACGCAATGGACGTCTTCCTCTTCATCTGCTTCCCCCTGCAGCTACTGTGTCGAGCACTTTCAGAGCTGGATTGCAGTGATAATTATTAATATTCCGGATGCATATGCGTTTACTTTTACCATAAAATTATCATGATAACATTCATTGCCAGTTGGTAACCCGGTAGAAGTCTAGTAAAGTTCAAGTAAATAAATACGAATATTGTAGAAATGGGGACAGCTAAAAGAGGTGTCGATTTTATTAAAGCTATATCGAACATAATATCTAAATCAACTGGGTTCGAGAGCACTTTGAAAAAGGTGAAAAATTTCTTCTTAAATGGATGAAGATTGAATGAGATACGATTGGTATCCCCGAGGTTGACAAGTTTTTTGTTTATATAACTTCATCTGCTGTTTTTATTATCGATCGGCGAGATGGTGAATCTGACGGGCCTGCTTTAGAATACCGTCCCATGATTTCGGGAATAAAATGGGTATAGTCTGTTAGAGAAGGTTCTCCAGATCAAGTTATAACCGCAGGAAGCTTATTGTTTTCGAGGAATTTGAAAATTACCACTATTTGAGGTACATATATTTTCGATATAAAATTAATTTTACACTTCTAATTGCAATTTAGCGAAAAAACTGTTTTAAATCAAGATTTAACTTGTCCAATACTATTTATTTAAGAATAACAAATGAGTTATATCAAATAATACATTTTACAAGAATAATATAATTTATTTTCTTTATTTTTTTACTTCATTTAGAAAAGAAGTCGATAACGTAACCATTATTTTAAAGTTTGGAACTCTTTCGCTATTGTTAATTAAACAGAATTGAACAATAAGTTAATAATTGAATTAAAACTATTTTCGCACTATATAATGTAAAATAAATTAGTACAAAGGAATGTTAGTGGATAATAAATCGCAAAATATAAGAATAAAATAATTTTAAATCGCAAAAATAGTGTGCAGCTTTAGACCTGGAAAATGAACAAGTGAGCAGATATTCACCATGCACCAAGTGAATCCACACTCGCCACCTCTTCGTCGATTTCAAAGTTGCATTTATCTATCAGTCAGTATCGGAAAGTACCTCTCCGAGCCGTTCGGTACTAAACGGCGTTTTCAGACGGGATGACTCTCATTCGTGTGACTCCTACTTCTGGAGAACTAAATCGAGAAGGTAAAATCTTCTATCGCAGGCCTTAACAAACGCGCTCTTAGTCCTGCTTTTTCCAGAATGGATATGGCAGCGAAGAAAATGACTCTGGTGGCGAAAGAGGCCAGGACGAAATATCTCCTGTCATCAAAGCAAATAGTCGTCGCACAAGCACCCACGTCACTATTGACAGTCATAACTTCGGTTGTCTTCGAACCAGTATCAACCTCAACAACAACCTCAGCTTGGAAATCCACGTCACTCTTAACAGTCATAACTTCGAATATCTTCGAACCAGTATCAACATCAACAACAAGGAAATGGCTCTGGTGGCGAACGAGGCCATGACGAAATATCTCCTGTCATCACAACAAATAGTCGTCGCACAAGCACGCACGTCACGTTTGACAGTCATAACTTCGAGTATCTTCGAAGCAGTATCAACATCAACAACAACCTCAGCTTCGAACTTGTACCCCAGAATATTTCTTGCCAACAGGTGCTATTTCGGACTAAGGCAATTAAGAAGTAAAGTCCTCTCTCATCAAACAAAAACGAAGCTCTATAAGTCACTCATTATTCCCGTTCTGCTGTATGGTGTAGAGGCAAGGACGCTGACAATAGCTGATACTTATCACTTATTACGTTGCGAGTTTTCTGCGAAAGATTTATGGTTTTTTGCGCGTTGGCCACAGCGAATATCGCATTCGATGGAACGATTAGCTGTATGAAAGATACGACGACATTGAACGAATTAAAAGACAGCGGCTACGCTGTCTAGGTCGTCGTCTGAATGAACGAAAACGCTCCATCTCTGAAAGTATTCGGCGCAGTACCCGCCGGAGGAAGTAGATTAAGAAGAATTCCGTTGGAAGGACCAGGTAGAGAAGTAGCTGGCTTCGCTTGGAATCTCCAATTGTCGTGAAAAAGAAACGATTGGAGCGATATTGATAACTCGGCTATAACCGCGTAAGCGGTTTCTACGCTAGGGAAGAAAAAGAAATGCAATATCTCAAAAACTATAAGTTTCCTGCGGCTATAACTTGATCTGGAAAATCTCTATCCGACAATACCCATTTTATTCCCGATTATGGAACGGTATTCTCAAGCTTTTCAATCTGAAAAAACTATAAATACAATAAATTTTAGAATATCATTTGTAGTTAACTATATTGGTTCAAGATATCTCAATAAAAAAAGGTTTTTTTTCACTCCAAAACTAAACGAGATAAAATGACCCATGCAGGTATTTGAATACGTTTTGCCCATGCAAGCGATAGCTTGAGTAAATATTAAGATATCTTGATAAAACTTTTTCCTTGGCATGCTGAGAAAGCAGAAAGTGCTATAACTACGCCGCAACTTAAGTTTCAAAACTTGACCTAAAACATTTATAAAAATTCCATACAGTCTTACTTATAAATCCGAGTATCTCGGGAAGTATTAATGATTGCGATTTTGCGCTCGAGACTTTTTTATAGCAAATAAAATTTCCTACAAGTTTGTAATCTACAATTTTTCTATAGCGCTCTTCATTTACTAGATAAATATAAAAAATACAAATTATCAGGTGTTTAATTCTGAGGAATATGCAATGCGATAAAATTCGTCTGAGCTGTAGAAATTTAAAGGTAAAAATTATGATTTTCATGTATTGTCAATGGAAAATTTTTACATGCCTTGGTCAAGTACTTAGTGTTAATATTAAGATTTCAAATTTTCAGGTAATTTTTTTTCCAAGGAAATTTAAAGGGGAAAATAATGACAATATAAATTAAGGGTCAATTAAGACATCCTAACCAAACTTTCCCCTCATATGACCATCAGCCATCATGCGATAGTAATGGCTTTCCAGCTATGTATTTTTTAACAATTTGGAATTTAAAACAAACAAAAATAGTTATTTCTCATTCATCGTTAATCGTACCGTAACGTCAGTATTTACATATGTACATATGTATTCTACTTTGTGGGGATGTTTGAGTATTAATCACAGAGGCAAGAGCATTGAAGCATTTAATATTTTTTACATTTCTTAAGCGCAAAACTTACAAAATCGGCATCAGCAAAATTTTTAATGGAAGAGAAAATTAAGAAAAATCGGATATGAATCCAACCGGGCGTTATTGGAAAGTAATATAAAGAAGCCATGCTTTTAACATATTAGCGTAGACTTCCAAATTGAAATTTTAATCTATAATAAAAAAATTAATCAATTTGGCCAAATCACTTTTCTGAATGTTCGCTGAAGCTCAAAGATGGTTTTTACGACGAGAAAAATTCGAATAGTTGCCGGAAAGCTCAAAAAAATAGCCATTTTCTTGAATGTTTGTTTTTTAGTAACGCTAAGGCTCGAGAACGGCTGCACAACTCTTGATGAAATTTTCAGAGGTCGTTCGTTGTGGATTGGAAAAGATTTAGAAATAAAAAACCTTTCATGAGAAAAATTCGGAAAAATAATTTTTTTCCATACACATTTTTTTTGTGGTTTTCAATATTTTTATTTGCAAATTATTTGAATCGTTGAATATCGGTCGCTTGCTTTTTTATTTCGGTTAAATGAGTCTTAAGGTCTGAGCAAGATGGGCCTATGATTTGCACATAAAAGTTAAATATTAAATTTTATTACGTTTGTGTTATTAAGGTTATTACCAAACTTCTGGGCGTTGTCTCAGTTTTCGATTTTAATAATATTCATAATTTTAGAGAATCTTAAATATTAGTTACTAAATGCTAGTTATAACTATWAAAACTTAAGCAAAAACTTTAATTAGTAAAACAATATTTTCCAATAGAAAGTATGAAACCAAATATTACACAAAAATTTTGGGGTTTTAAGAACCGTTTTTTAATTTGATTAAATCTTAGCAAATTATTTACTTAAAAAGTTCGTATATAAATAATAGTAGACGATTCCATTTTGTTGTATCACTTTACTCTTTTATCTTACTTTAGCACAATAACATCAATTTATATTTTTATTAAAATAGCACAGCAAGGGCTGCTCCTATCGATGTTACTTTTCGAAGTGATTCTGCGAGGACACAGCTCCTAATTATTACGCACTCCTTCATTATTCTAAAAGTACCTAATAGTTCTCCATTCCTGTTATTATTCCTATTTGCGTAATTATAATCCAAAGTACCGTAATATATACCGCCTATGCCTCGCCTATTTCAAATAACGCTCTGGCAAACACAGTTGCCTACAAACCTCAGTATATATACTGTGCTACAAAATATTAGCACTCCGACATACACAGTTACAAGGACATGCAAAATATAACCATGAGCTCTCCGACACGGCCTTCCTGACAAATCATACGTCCTCGTGTGTTTACTTTAAATCATAATATTCTAACACATCTGTTAATTTTTTATTGTTTATAAATATTTCATTAACTTTTCTTCACATAAAGTTTGAGGCTTCTAGACAAAAAATAAAGTTTGAAATTAAGCAATAGGCAAAAGAAAAGCAACTGACAAATAAGCAAATTGGTAGCAGTACAATTTCTAGAATTATCATCAGAATAATGTACAAGTATGTGCACTGCTCTGCTCGGAGTTTTGTTAGTTTAAAAACTATAGCTGTAGCAATTGTCAAAAATCAAATGCTGTGCTCTGTGTAGTCTTAGCGGTAATAAAAATTGAGAGGTATGAGAGCGAGCTAATTAAAATTTGTGTCAGAAAATATCTACCTTTGGAACGAATGTAATTCAGACTGCAATTTTCCAACTGGTGCCTTAGCCAATTTACAGCTGATATTATTCTCAACAAACCTAGGAACATAATTTGACAATGTTTTATCCAACCTAAATTCGTCCCTGGACGTGATTAATCACTGCCCATCTAAATGCTCTAGGGATTACGGAAAAACATTTGTTTTTACTGTTTCTTTGCATTTTTCTAACATAAAACTCATTTCTTCAATTCATAGGTTTTATGTAAATTTTCTAGCAATTAATTACTTTGTTAGCTTAGCTTTATCAGCTAGGAATCAGAATCTCGTTAGTCAGATACTAGCCAATTATCATTTACCTCAGTCAATTCGACCCATTTTTAAACTTTTTTTCACACTCCTACATTATTTAATCTACGTATGATCAACCGTCATCCACCGCAGTCTATGTGAAAGCGAGGTAATAAGTAAACTCGCACCAGCTAACATACACACGCACACTACATAATGGTCTTACACACTTATAAGAATTAGGATGCGCCCTTGTTGCACTACTGCTACTGTTTCACTTCCCTTCATTATCTATTTGCGACCTATGCGCACTTTTTCTTTCGATGCGTTAATAATTTTGTTCGCTTCTGATTTTCCTTTCACTTAATTTTTATTTGTTACGATTTCGCAGCTACCCTTCACTACGTTTAAATCCCTAACACTATAATGGATTAGGATTCCAATTCGAATCAACGTTCGGATTCAGGCAAATCAATTTCGAAATTACCAACCAACCATAATTTTCACAAACACCAGTGCGCATTCAGTACATTGCAAACACTAACAAAACTTTCTTTTACTAATGAACAACCAGCTACATACTCATAGCAAAATGGAACCGACTCGCCTGATAAATTTACCACAACCTTTGGCGAAGCTAAAGTTCCCATTTTGTTGCACTTCAAACATCGTATATTGCTCCTTAATTACTGTTCCCGTTATGATTGTTTATTTTGCGTTCTTTCCCCTTTCTAGTGCATCGTCATCCGTATTACGCTTTGTTGTTGTAGCTGGTTGCGGCTTGTTACGTTGGTTACGAGTTACCCTCGCAACAAATTGTTATTGATTTGAGCCATGTGTGTCAACGCTACCTACACTGCGATTTCCTCCAAATCTTTATTTTTCTCTTGAACATGAATGAGGTAACAATTCGACTACCATATTCTGCAAACCCTTCTCCATACTTAGGATAACCATTTAAAACGTTCAATAAAATTGCTGTGGTTGTCTCCATTCCCACAAAACTTTGAATGAAAAACTCCTTAAATTGTGTCCAGGTTATGCCTGCGAAACTTATTTGCGATAACCATTTTGATGAGCTGCCGTCTAGCGCCTTACTTAAGGCTATCACAAGTGAGCCGCCTTCGAGGTTATTCCATCAAAAATGAGGTCCACCGTTGTTTGCTACCGGTCTTGGTATCTACATGGACTTGATTACGTCCATTAGATTCCGGATCTGCGAATCAAGCGCTGCGAGGATCTGGCATGAACCTTCACTTGTAGGATTAGCCGATTCCATTTCTGATATTGGCGATTTTGTTTGTAGATGATTCCATTTTGTTGTATGTCTTTATACTTTCATCCTACTGTAGCACAATAACTTCAATTTATATTTCTATTAATATAGCACAGCAAGTTCTACTGATATCGATGTCACTTTTCGAATTGATTCTGCGAGGATACAGCGCTTAATTATTGCGCACTTCTTCATTATTCTAAAAGTATCTAATGGTTCCTGCTTATTTTCTCTCTGTTCGCAGAATACGATCAGACCTCGCTCAGTAACAGTTTATCTATTCCTGTTACTATTTTATTTGCGCTTTTAGAATCCAAAGTACAGTAATATAATAACACTCCTACAAAATATTAGCACTCCGACATACACAAATTTTATTTAAAGAAATTCAATAAATTCAAAGTCCGTCATTCTGACATTTTTCTTCTTCTTCTTTACTGGCGTAGACACCGTTTACGCGATTATAATCGAATTAACAACAGCGCCCAAGTCGTTTCTTCTTTTCGATACGTTGCACCAATTGGAGATTCCAATCGAAGCCAGGTCCTTTTCCACTTGGCCCTTCCAATGGAATGGAGGTCTCCCTCTGCTTTCCTCGGCGCGTACTGCGTCAAATACTTTCAGAGATGAAGTGTTTTCGTCCCTTCGGAGAACAAGACCTAGACAGAGTCGCCGCTGTCTATTATTTCGCATACAGGTCATCGTTCCATCGAATGTGATATTCGCCTTGGAAAAAGCGTAAAGTACCACAAACCCTTAGCAGAACCTTTGTCTCGAAAACTCGCATTGTCGACTCATCAGTTGTTATCATCGTCCATGCCTCTACACCATAAAGCAGGACGGAATAATCAGTGACTTTTAGAGTTTGGTTTTTGTTCGTCCAGAGAAGATTTTACTTCTCAATTGTCTACTCAGTTCGAAATAGCACCTGTTGGCTAGAGTTATTCTGCACCGGATTTTCAGGCTGACGTTGTTGGTG